TGTGTTTCCAGTTGCTATCTGTACCAATGTACATCCTCTGGTCTAGCCAGATTTGTAAGGTAGAATTGGGATCATGATAGTGGGGGGTAGGATGCATTTAAGAACTAGAGGAAAGTTATATGTTTCATCGTTGCTACCCTACACACTGACTGACTCATCTCCTCCCCACAACCCTTCAGTAAGGGTGTGTCCATTTGCTTACCGATGGACTTTGAGTCTCCACTCTGCACTCACCCACATTTACAATGATATGATTTTTCTGTTCTTTGATGCTTGATACCTGATCCCTTCAACAGCTTGTGGTCACACAGGCTGGTGTGCTTCTTCCACGTGGGCTTTGTTGCTTCTGAGCTAGTTGGCCGCTTTTTTATCTTCAAGCCTTTAAGACCCCAGATGGTATATCTTTTGATAGCTGGGCACCATCAGCTTTCTTCACCACATTTGCTTATGCACATGTTTGTCTTCAGTGTTCGTATCACGAAGGTGGGCACCCACTGATATGATTTTTAGTTCTTTGATGTCTGATAACTGGTCCCTTCTACATCTCGTGGGCAGACAGGCTGGTGTTCTTGCATTCAGTAAGTACTTGAGTAGAGGCCCAATGTCCATCTGCTGCCTTAATTCTAAACCTATAAATATATGCACGTAGATCTGTTTGCCCACACTCTTATATAAATATATTTACATATGTACATTCCAGTCTTTAGACCTCTATAAATACTCTTTGTCCCTTAGTTCTTTCCTCTATTTCCTTTTACTTTCCTCTGGTCCCACTATCATGCTCAGCCTTCATTTGGGTTTCAGTAATTTCTCTCGGTTACATTGCCCTTGCTGAATCCCTACCAGGCCTCTCACACCCTCCTTGCCACTGATTTTGGGTCACTTATTGCTCCCCTTTCCCAGGGTTGCTCAACACCACCTCCTTACCCCCGCCTCCCCATCTCCCGTGTCCCCCCGGAACCATTGGTTCCATTGTTTTCTCCTCCAGACTATTCATCCAGTCTATCTTATCTAGATAGATCTGTAGAGATAATACTAGGCTCCACAAATCAAGCCATAGCAAGATGGGCGATGAATTAGAACACAGCGATGACAACAAAAAAGAAAACCAATTACCCATAGAAGAATAAATTAATTGAAAGAAAACCTGTAAATAGATCCAGGTCTGATTTTTAATCTCTAGGCATGTCCTTTAGCCAGGTCTGATGGGGTACCATGCTCGAGCCCCAGAGCCTGTCCTTTGTACTCCCTCAGGGGATCCCTGATCTGCTCCCATGGTTGCTCTTCCGCATGCTTTTAGTGGTTTGCCTCGGTGTCCCAGCGTCAGTCTGGGCCAGTCCCGACACTGAGTCTCCAGTGTTGCGCCCCCTTACGGCCCTGGGCCATCAAGTGATGGTGTGTCTCATAATGGGATCAGCCGTATTGTCCACTGTGTGCATTGGCTGTTCAGACCGGGGATATCGTCCTTTAGGCCTCGTGGGCCAGGATGTGCTCCACTCTCTCTTCCTTCCCCTTCACTTGCTCCCATTTTCTCTGATCAGACATGCCCCTCTCCTCTAGCTGCAGCTTCAGTGCAGTCCTCTCAAGTAAACTCTTCGAGAGGAGGGGCAGTTGTTCACGTAGCTGGTATGGGGGCCGAGCCCTCAGGCCTCTCCACTGGCTCCCCGTTCCTTGCCGGCACTCTTCATTCGTCTGGCACTGGCTTTAAATCTGGTCCCTCTTTCCCTGTGGAGACACAAACAATACCCTCCCCTTGGGTGGGTCAGTGTCTTGGTCCCTCACCACAAATTGTTTTTTTCTTTCCCTTTTCCTCCCTCTCCGCCACTTTTTAGTTGGCTACCATATGTACCCCTGGATTTGGTCTGGCCCCTGCCATATTACCTGGAGTGTTTGTATACAGTAACTTTTTCCCTCTGCCCCTTTTGCATTGACCTTTCTGTTCTTTCTTTTTTATATATATATAAACTTAGCTCAGCGGACTCATGTTATACTTGTCCTTTTGTACTTGGCTTACTTTGCTTAGCATTATTTCCTCCAGTTCTTCCTACGCGGCGAATTGCTTCATGCGTTCATCGCT